TATTTTGAAACACTGTGGTTCTCAGTATGCATTCGCTTTCTTTATCTGGTGTAATATGATTTATTTTAAGCCAGTTTCCGTTTATGCATATTTATATATTCTTCTCTTTATGTCAGTTACTTCAGTACAACATTTTTCCACACAACTCGGACGATTTGTTGCTATATATTAATTCTTATGTCTTTATTTAGTTAATTTATTAATGTTATCTTTTATCCGTTCTTCTATTTTCTGTAATTATTATCGTGGTTACTCAGTTAGGACAAAAAAAAAATAAATGTTGAATTATTAGGATTACCCCAATTATCATTTCCATCAAAATCATCACCGCGTTCAGAAAAACTCTTGCACAACCATAACATACCCAGCGTAAAGCTGGCCGGAGCAAGAAGCTCGCTGCTCATTGACAAGTACCGCCTCACCACCACGTCCTTGCCTCGATGGTGCGCTGTTTGATTGCACAGAAGCAACACTTCGCTCGCCTTACACTTCATGTGCCCTGTTGATGGATGCCAGGGGCTTTATAGGTTGTGTTCTTGTAGCACTGCATTCAGATGGAAGTAAGTAGGTCTTCAGAGAAACCAAAGCAATGCACTGCGTTCCCATGGCGACGGTTTACACTTTTTAAGAGACGGAGAGAGAGATCTTGTAATTCATTGGTTACAGTCCGCTACCCGCTTCTGTATCGGCTACAGGTAAAGGAGCTTTGATGTCGAACCACGTGCTTTCTGTCAGTATTCTATTGACGCTAAAGATTTTTCCGGATGTTCGTTCTAATATGCGCATCTATGATACTGCTTTGAATTACGTCTTAACCCCGTGGCGTGTACGTACGGTGTCTCCAAATGTAGGACAAAAATTGAACTGAAATGCGGATAACATTATCCTTGATCGTAATTATAATTTTTAAGTAATTAATACTGAGGTAAATGTTTATCAGAAAAAGCTACCATTGACTTATTCACCTCATTTCGTGTTTAACCAAGTACACGCAAGAGCGTAGATTATTTATTTTTTCATTTGTTTACCTTTTATTTAAAGATCGTGTCAGTAGCTTATATTATGTATCGTCGACTACCGGGAATTATTAGTGAATAATGAAGTGGAAAGAATGTGGTTTAATTTACTGTACCATCCCGGAAATTGCGTAGAGAATCTGAGTAAAACTGCGGAAAATCTCATCAAGAAGAGCCGGTCTTCGAGTTGAAATTCAAGCCCTGGTGCTCCAGAATTCGACGGAGGTGTACTGACCACTGCAAGTCTAAGTTTGGTGTAAACGTAGTTTTGGTAACGTTGGTAGTACACAGAAAATACGAACTTGCGACAGTCAGCGGCATGTCATTTATAACCAATTTAAAGTAGTTATTTAACTATGCTGTAGTTACTGCTTTAACATATTCAACGTCAAATTGTAATATTATTGTAGATCTCTGTTTGAAAACGACGTAGTAGAATTAAATGATTTTGTCTTATATTAAAATCAACGTACGAGGTGCGATCGGAAAGTTTCAAGACTGTGTCAATAGAGGGCGAACCGGATGTAGTACGAGCTTCTGCCGCTAGGGGGTGCGGCCTACATTCATAGTGAATCAGTGTGCCAGCCGGCATCATCGAATTAGCATTTGTTTCTTAGTTACGGGCGTTTTGGTAGTGCATTACACCGACCCTCCTGCGATTTCGGAATGGCGTGTGCATCAAATTTTGCCAAAGACTCGCCAAAACGGCTACGGAAACCTATGAAATGCTAAAGCAAGCATTTGGGGAGTCCGCAATGGGTCGTGCACAAACGTTTGTGTGGCATTCACGTTTTAAAAATGGCCGAACCTCTGTCGATGATGACGAGCGTTCTCGTATCAGCTTATTCTTGCTTCTAAGCACTGGAAAAGGTGTCCGTGGTTTGGTTGTTAGCTTGTTGTAAGACTGCGTTTCTTGCTATTGTAGAATGCCTGACAGAAAATGTATTTAATTTGCAGTCGCATCTTAAGCATTTCCATGTCAGTGGGCCGTAAGGCATTGAATGTTTGTAAGTGTTGAAAAGTGGTTGAGTAACAGAAGTATTTGTGCGCGTTGTTCGTTTTATCGCATTTCAGCGCTCCGGATAACTCCGGTCAGTCAGCCGGATTAATCACGGGCCAGTAGGACCACAGGCCATAGGCTACTATACATAAAATAAACCAATAACTTTCATTATGTGGCTACAGTATCGATATCAAATAAAACATTTCAACGTGTACCGCTAATTGCACCACACTAATTAAATTTATGTCGTTTCAGTGTTTGTTGTAATTAGTGTGATATGTGTAAGTAGAGCGTAACGGAACACACAGCATTCGGCCTGTTATTGTTCCCGTGTTTAACAAAAGGTTTGTTGGAAGTGCGGATTATTTTTCGTTCGCCTAATTAAAACGAGAATGTTTGCCATGCGTAGGCTTTCATTCCGCAATCAGTTATGCGGTTTTTATTGTTAGTTCCGTGGACCCGGATAAGCCAGTAATCGGACAGTTAGTCAAGAAATCCGCCGCCTTTTATGGAATCCAAAGCTTTTGCATTGTGTTAACGTCGGACCGATGCCGGTACCTTTCGTGAGCTAGATGATCAAGTCAACGCCATTACGCTCTGCGTCTTTCAGGAAGCATTTTAATATTATCCTCCCACCAATGGCGAAGTCGTCCAAGTGGCACAGTTTCTTCATCATTCAGAACTAAAATCAGCAAATCTTACGGTTGATATTGTCGTGAACTTTACTCGACATTGACAGACACAGGACCTCAAAATACTATTAAGTTTTATTTAATGTTTTACTTCAATCCTACTGTAATTTGCGTATGTATTGGAATTTTTATCTTACGTAGACAAAAGTTTTTCGTTTTGTTTAATTTTCTGTTCACTTGATAATATGTTCGTGAATGCCGAAAGTCACTCAGTAGAAATACATGATCATGCCTGTTTTTAAGCTTTGTATTAATCGCGTTTAAAAGGAAACAAATTTTATGTAGCGTATTTCTGTAAATAGACTCCTGAGCTTTCCAAATATGGTACTGCACGTGAGAAATGTTGGCTCTTCCTATTAGTGGGCTTTGAAAACGCAAAACTTAAGCATTGCAGTTCAGCGTCCGAACTTACCGCAGGTGTTTGTCTTGTACGTCTTAGAAGTTTTTGTCGTCGTGAAACGTATTTGCATTCTAAGGTGCTGTATTTTACATAGAAAAAACTTTTTTACTCAACGAGCAACTGAGTATAATAATAGAAAGGAATACCTCAATTTTTTTTAACATTATGGAACAACTAAACTTCAAGTCTTGCATTTTCTTTCACAATATTTGCTGTATATCATAAAATTTATCCCAAGATTTCTCTCATATTCTCATTATCTTTAAGACTACTTTCTTCCCCTCTGCAAACACGTTCGGAACCAACTATCGCTTACCTATAAAGTCTTCCTCTGTCTTGTTTGCATACAA